TAACCCGCTGCGGGCATTGAATAACCCGCTGCGGGCCGGACGTGCATAGGGGGGAAATTTACGCGCGCATGCGCACTTGCATGCCCAAGCACGCACACACAGTGGGGTTATATGTATATGAATACTGTTATGTAATAACCATCCAATCCTCACGTTGCGCTGAATTACTACACTATATCGGTTATTGCCGGTAACTTACACGGAGCTTATCGGTATACTACATACAGTTGTAAACAATTAACACAACCTAAGCAGGTGCATGAACTGTAAACAAGTAATGTTAATTATCTACCGGCGATAGATAGAGAATTATTATAAAACGTGCCTGTTCCACGGGCTCATTTATAGCTTTCCACGTAATACGTTTTTAACAAACTGATAGGATATTAACGTTCTACCCGTAACAACGAGAAATTAAGCTACCTATGGCTAAGAAACAACAAAGTTTAAATTGGTTCAAATCAATTAAGTCTTGGTTTCAGAGAAAGCAAATTAGATCGTGAGCTGTGATACTGAGCGTAAGAGTGATCGAACCATATCCCTATAATAGACGCTTGGTAGGAACGGTAATTGCACCCGAATCTTCCCGTACGTGAAACGTGTTAAATGTTTGCAAACTGCTCGGGGGGTTGAGGTGCATTTGAATAAAACCTACCATAATTCTCGCGCTAGAAGCGATAAAAGCTAGTTAATTTCAATAGGCCTCGCGGTGCAAGAAAACGTAAAGATCGTGAGTGTACGTTGCGCGGATAGTTATAAAAACGGCAATCGTGCTAACTTGACTACTCGTCGTTCCTAACCGACTCATCCATTCAAGCAGAAGTCGGGTATCATTCGGGTTAAATCCAAGCAGATGGTTTAATCTATTTTAATAATATAAGATAATAAAAAGTCGATACTTCCGTTGCCAGCAATGGTAGTTATTTTTATATATTCGATGGTGGCTGTTTGTGATGCTAGATATAGCTATCATACCAATTTCTTTATACGCTCTTGACAATATATATAGTGACGACAGACAACATCAATGAACAAGGTGTACAGACCGTTGTGTTTTGACTGATACCAACAACACTAATTGTTACAGTCAGTCACGTATCTCAGTTGTCAATCCAGAATGATCAGCTGACACAAACTCACGCACTCAATCGGAAACTACCATGCAGTAGTATACACAAACTCACGTCGCCGATCGCAAATCATCATATCGTCATTTGCATATATAATGACTGGCAACACAAACGCACACCGTCTGTTACAAACCATCCCTAGCAGTATACAAACGAGCGTGGCCCGCCATACTCCACCGGTGGCAGTAAAAGACACACTATTCACAAAGCATCACGACAAGCGACAAGCTAGAAACAAACTCAAAACTACCAAAACTGATATCACGACACGTGGACACGTTTTTTGCGTGCCGTATTGGTTATATGTGCAGTTCGGTTCAACGGAAACAGCCATGTCTGCAGGCGTGCCACATGTATAGGAAGAGGAAGTGACTTGCTAAGAGGAAGAGGAGGTATCAGACTAACGGTTCAATGCGTATATATGCTCTGCAATGACGACCAGTTGTCACGTCTGTACATCAGCACTTGTAAGAATATTTGTGTAGCGTAGTGGCATTCAACTTATTTTTTCAGTAGAAGGCCACATGACCAGAAATCGGTATCTGTGCGTGCCGCTTGAATTTTTTATTGATAGCAATGTGGTGGTGGTGGTGGGGGGGGGAGGAGGATTATGAATGTTAGCGCTAGCGTTGTGTCTCGCTTGATACCATGAATGGTCCATCGTTCGTGTGATTTTGCTATGCTTGACTTTAACGTGCTGGACAAATGCGTAGATTGCAATAATGATGTACAACTACGCTTTCGGTTTAGTTTAGATGCATGAGAACCGTCTGTTTTATCTCAGGAATACAACTGTCTGCCAAACAGTTCCCACCCCGTCTATACCACCTCATTTGTTGTTGTTGACACAAGTACATCTGTACATGAGACACAGACACCAGCCCGTCTGTACATGAGACACAGACACCAGCCCGTCTGTACATGAGACACAGACACCAGCCCGTCTGTGCATGAGACAATGACCAGCCCGTCAGTGCGTGAAATACAGAGCCCAGCGTGGTAATAAACGCATGCGCAGTGAGGCAATATAAATAACGCAATGTTAAAGGCGTAGAGTTTACTCTAGGTTATAGGGTTATTTTCAGTAATTAGGTTATAATTACGTACATAAAAAGTTTCATGGTTTAATCCCATTTCAGAAACATGTTTGAAAAACGTGTTAAAACTACGACTAGAGTTTAATACAACGACGGTGGGCACTCAAGCGCCACTATTTGATAAGTTTCGCACAACCACTTTCCAGCAGGGTACAGACCGAGGTGTTTCTTTGTATTAATTTAAGCAAAAGGATTGTACTTCTTATAAACGACATTATGTTTCATTTATAATTATGGATAATTTGCCCCTTAAATGAATATCGGTTTGGTTAA